GCCTACAGATATTTCATTACAACACTTCTATAATATATCATGCCTATTAAAATCTATTGCTTGTTTGGATGAAAAATTCTATATACTATTTAGTTAAATATCTAGTTTGAATATTTTATTTTATCACCCTGCATACATTTAAATATCCACATCAAAGGTGCAGCTTACTTAAATTTTTAATTTTTAATCGAACAATAAGCCCACACATGATACTAAGACAACTGACATCAGTTTTAGATAAAAAATGCTGGCTAATGCTGTATCATTTTCCTGTAACAAGTCAATCCCTTAACTTTGAGTCAGAGATAGTGTTTTGTACCCCATCCCTTAAAACTTAACATGGACAAATAAACAACTTTTACCTCTAAACTATAGCCAAAATATATAACTGACTACTAAGAAATGTTTATTTTATTTTGTTAAATTTTAGTCATAATGTGTATCAACTTTATAGCAGGACATTGGAATGGAAAACTTGCGAACAGAGTTCACATTGTGGGACTTCAAGATTATATTATAATGACAACGTAACATAGAATTACCATTACTTGATTACATGCCAACATTTATCAAAGGTATGAAAAAATTCTTTGTGCATTTTGCATTATGTCTTTATGGAATTTGAAGCTTGTGAAAATTTTCAAACTTGACAGCCAGTCTTTAGTGATTTCTTATCTATCTCGTTTTTAGGGATTTCCATTTGGAGGAGAGGGGGGGGGAGGGGGGGGGCGCACGTGGGGTGTGTTTGAATGTGTGTTCAAATATATATGTTTTCTGTCATAAATAATTTCCATTCATTCCCATTTGACAGATATTTACTTTAAAATTATGAAGATTTTAGAATATTGGAGTCAAACTTTAGACATTTCAATTCCGAATAAGAGATCAGCTTTCAAAAACTGCTTGGGTCTGTTCTTTGTGAAATTCTAGATACATGTAATGAAATTGTTTCAAACAATCAAGTTCTTTAAATCTCCAGGGAGAAAACTTGGCTCACAATTTAAATCACGGGATCAATTAAAATGCAATCAAATTAAAGAACTACATACATGCATGAATTTCATTTGATTTGGCAAGTACATGTATTTGACATATAAACATTGCATAAGATTATAATTAAGCGCCATAAGAAAATTTTCAAATGAAACATCAGAATTGACAAGGTCAGTTTTGTATTCTATATATTGATTCATTTGAATGCCAAGATATCGGTAACTGATGTTCTATAAATAAACATTCTGAAATGGTAATTCTGATATGTGTCAGATTCTGTGAAAAACATAGAAGGTCAAAAAATTGAAGAATTTGATATATCCAATGATACTGTACTACCACAATTAACAGTTCATTGTGTTACCTTATACATGTACTATAAAGTATGCCTATTGAATATATATAATGCTATTTCATCAATGCCTTTGGCTTATCTATGTATCTATTTGGCTGCCGTGCCAAGACTTTGAAAACATTGCATCAGGATTTTAGTAAATGGGGCTTTGAGATTACTTGCAAATTTTTTTATAAATATATACAGCACTTGACCATATATTTTGAATTTGTCCTTCACCGCATATGTCTATTTTGTAAATAATTTTATACAACTTTGGCTAACTTATAGGTTTTGAAAGGCAGCCAGAAAGCTACAGTTTAACTCTTCAAAAAATATATTTTAATATTTAGAATACAAACTTTTAAACAATTGCTGCTTATACATTAAAATAAACTGATATTCTTATATGGAGTCTTTCATGTCTCGTAATTTTTTTTATTCACTTGTGAAATTTTCTCATTGCATAGTTAGAACAAGAAGAGCTTAAACTCATTATGTCATCATTAATCTTTTCATTTAATCATAACTCATCCTCGATACTCCAAGGGTTATAATCATTTTGCTGGAACATGGAACAGGTCATGACAAAATTGAACGCATAAGCAAAGTAATTTGATTGGTTCCAGGAGAAAAAAAACTGACCAATCACAGACTGATACACTCCGTTTGAAGATTACATAGAAACCATACCCAACTTCAAAGCCATTACAATATACTTTTATGCCACTCGAGATTTGTCAAACTAGTCTTTTCGTCCTGTTCCCTTTCAGGGATGCAGACAGTAAGTGATTGTAACCCCTGGAATATCGCGGATGACTAGAACTTTGTCTAAAAATGTTTTAATTCTTTATGGTCGAGGATAAATGTATTCACTTATGTACCGGATATTGGGATTAAGCTGACAGTATCTAATGAAATCCATTATCTGTCCTAAATGTAAACCATCCCGCAGCTGTCGTTATGTAAAGATCGCAGCATATTGATAAATTGATTTTTTAGATAGTAAACCAGAGGAAGATGACTCCTGCGTCCCACGTTTGAAGGTACAGAAATTTTCCATTATAGTTTCTTAACATACACAAAATCTTCTTGTTCACAATTTTGGAACAGGAAACAAGATTGCCGCCAATAGAAAACAAGAATGTTTCTGGAGAAAAATGATAAATTCAAAATTATTAAAATACCCAATCTTTTCATCTAATATACAAACATAGCTTTTAAATTTTTTATTGGCTGCTGCTAACACTGACAAAGGCCTGACAAACGACATGTTACAACTTAGATTAATATCTGTCACTACTAAACTTAACAATATAACACAAACTTTACAATTGGTGACATACATATATATATACTTTTGTTCCAATATGTTTGAAAATTGAAAGACAATTTGACAGGTGCATATAGGACAATTTTACAAGTACACATCACCTGTGGTGACCTACATATTGACCTTTGACATATACCATACCTTGTATCTTGTATGTTACAAATGCTACATCTAGGTCATTCAGTTTACAACTTGCTGACATCGATAAAACTCAAGGGTTTTCCCTTGGTTACCCCAGTGTTATGAATTGAAAGAGTTCTAGGTCTTGCATTATATATGCAATAGATTAAAACTGATTTTGAAGTAATCTGTATGTTTTATTGACTAGTTTGTTCTGGTAGTTGTGTCACTGATGACAATCCCTGGACATCAACACACCATAAGGAGAAAATAAATTATCAAAATTTTCCAGATTGTTTGTGATAAATGACATTTATGTGGTTTGTTTTTACACCAGGTAGACGAAAGGTGACAGGTCAACGTAGACACCATATATAACAAAACAAATGAAATGTCTGTTTGACCTTTTCAGCTGTCTGTCAGTAGTTTTTTTTATTAGATCTTGGTAAATAACAGTGGATCATTACAAAATGTTACAACATACTACACACATTAGCTCATAAATACACCTAGATTTCATGCATGACCCACTAAACTTCATTCACATCTGAAATCTCATAATGTTTTTTTTTGTGCATGCACTGATGTTTCAGCTATCACCATACAGTAAATCAGTTTTCACATGTAACTTTCAAAGGTTTCCCATAAAAGATTTGCACAGGTAAGTAACAAGCCTCAGCTGCCAAGTAAAGATCCGTTTCATGTTTTCTTTAAGCCTTAAAAACACTGTTAAAAACACCTTTAGGATAGAATAAAAAAAGATTGTGTCATATGGATTGGTGGAGAAAATTGTTCTGTCTATCCATTAGCAATTTCATTTTTGTCTTTTTGTTAAAATTTTAACTGTAACTTAAACAAAATAAAATCGCAGATAGGAAGTCAGAACCCTTCAGACTCGTAAAGACACAGGACCCCCCCCCCCCCCCAATTTTTAAATTTAGGCCTTTAAGATTTAATTCTAATATCTTTCTGTTTCTTAAACTACTCTGTACAAATTTTGACTAAAATGAACCAGTACTGTATACAAGCATTGATTTTCATGTTTACCTTAATGATTGCATGGCGTTTTTTACTGTGTAAATACAGTTGAAGTGTCAGATCAAAAATTGAAAAAACAGAGGAAATCTTTGGTTACGTTTGTTTAACTTAATCACATAATGTCAGCTTGACTGATGTTGGTAAAATTACTGCTGTACTAATCAGGGACATATGATATACAGTATTCTGTACCCAAGTCCCTGACTTAATCAAATAGGAAGTACATGGTCACGCGAGGCACACCTTATACCAAGAAATTCTGTCTCTAAAATTTTCAGTTATTATGGTGTTATTGATATTTATACTTTTACTGGTTATGCTCATTTTAAGGTCTTGACACACCAAAGCATAGTTTAGATTTGATATTTTTCATTTGATACTAGATCCATACTAATTGTATTTTGATTTTTTTTGTCCTTTTTTTAAATGTAATTTGTTACATAACAGAAAGCTTATGATAGACATTCAGAATATTAATTGACTTTGGAACAGTTTTAAAAACAAAATGAAATCGCTTTGTAAGCATTCAGATTCAAATTTTGTATACGATACGTAATGTTGATCAAGAGCTGCCAAAGAATGCAAAGAATATTATTTCTATAGAAACAAGGACACGGATATAATTTAAGCCCCTCTTTTTTTTACGACGTCACCAGGGAAATCCCCCGGGTATTGTTTACCTTTAACACGTGGTTTGCTTGCGGAGAGAAATATGTACTTGTACCAGTCACCGTACTACATACTTGGTCAATACAAGTAGCTAACTTTGCTGGTCATGGCCTCCGTTACGGTTCAGCAAACATACACACTATACACTGCTACCGTAGTACAGTAGTGCTTACAACACGTTGAGAAAATGGCGGACACACAATCAAAACACATGGCACACGATAGTAAAAAACATTTTCTTACACCAACACTTCACATTACGAATGAAACCTCGAAAGACAGTGGTGTCAGCTTCTGTTTTCTTGCGTATTGAAATAGTAAAATAGCAAACCATTTCTCTGTAGGAACGCAAAACATGACACAAACAATCCCATGTTAATTGGCAGATCGACTCTTCGTGACCTTCACGCGTTATTCTACGCCATATTCCTGTATGTTGCTGCCTTTCTGACTCTGAACGTCACAAATACATGATACGATACTATGATGAAACAGTGATCATAACACACTTACCTCAGCCATGCTTTCTGTGCGTGATTTTTCACGGTTATCAAATCAAATGACGCTGGTCGACCGGTACGGTATGTATCTATCTGGAACATAAAATAAGCGCATTTGATTGGTTGGAAGGACTCACACCCACCTACACGTGTGTAGACTAAAACTAAATACACATAACCGTATGTTTCAACCATTTAACTCTAAATATGGAAAAGGAGGGTGTTCTTTTTCTTAACTTATTTTACATATTTGAAGAAGAAGGAGAACTAAGTTTTCATTTTGAAGGTTTGTTGCACTTGGAACATTTTAACTCGATCTATAACTTGTACATTATTATCTTTCGCTATTAATAAACTGAAGCACGTGACCAGGTTCGATATAGTCGGATGATGAAATATATTTAGTGTAATTAGTGTAAGAGGGATGGGCATATCCTGCTACACTATTTGGAATTTTTATTGTATTTAGATTCAATATATGGATTAAGTGAACTTTTTATCTTATTTATACTGACGATACAGCCCCTAGTAACCACCGAACACGTTAAGTAGATACAAAGAAAAATATGCATATAACGATAATTAAAAAATAGCTGATCCAGTTAATAAAAAAAGAAACATCAGTTGAAGCGATGTACATGTATGTCCCTGATTATCGTTACGCCCACCGAGAGAGTTTGAAAAAAATACGCCATATTTTAGATATTATTGTAAACTAGAAGTACAATATATTGACCGTCATATGTTGCATCACCCATCCACTCAAATCTGACGACATGCCAATGCTGAAATTTTCATTAGATTTCAACATATTGCCAGGAACAAACATCCATCATAAATACCCAAGTCCCATTTGTTCACATAATTCGCCTTTATGTCATAAGTTATTATCGTAAGACACATGGATATGTAATAATACTATTGTGACGTCACATATATGTCGCGTCTTGATGACTCACGTGATTGTCTCGGTATTGAAACGGGTACCAGCCGGGTTAAAGGAAATTAATTTGAGAGCTTTCGCTTTATTACGGATTATATGATAAAGAGAATCTTATACTCGTGTTGATGTAATTTATTTTTTTCATTTCACCAGCCTATAGGCTCGTGACACATAGCATACACCGAGTGATTGATAAATGAATGATCAAACTCTTGTAATAATTGCATAGTACACCGACACCAATATTGTCGTTATTTCACCAATATCAAAAATATCCACTGGTGGATCTAGACGACGGTACATCCCCCACCCACCCCCAACCTTACATTGGCCAGGTCACCATTGGCGAGAACTTCAGATTATATCTTCACACATACTTATCTGTCAACGACACTTCAATCACATGCGAAGAACATTTTATAATAAATCAGACCCTGATAATTTGCTACTTTGTAATTTCATCGAAAATTTTCTGTATTTTTTTCTTTAGACGCTCTTTAGTTCTCATTCTTTTATGTGCGTAAGAACGGACCTCGAGAGACGGGTATCGTGTTATTCATATGCAGAACGGTCCCTTTATTTTTCTTATATTCAGAATTTGAAGTAGCTACTATATGGATAAGACAGCCTTAGCGAAAACGTAGATATGGAATTTGATTTGACGATTTGTCGAAATCCAAAATACATATATTACTATAGGCCGTTTCTTTTTAAATTGTTAAAACAAAAACTAACATAAAAAACCAGGGACACAGGAAAACCGTCACATACTCGCACTAAGTTTGCGAGATGGATGCCTTTATTCCTTGCAAGTAATAGCGGGAGGGGAAGTCTTCGCCCCCAAACCCCGTCAGAGCTTCGCCCCCAAACCCCCTGTCAGAGCTTCGCCCCTTCGATTGATTATGTCAACCTTTCTTGCATGTAGCAATACAATACTGAAAAGGGACAGAGTCAATATCGAAAACTATATAGAAAAAATCAGGGGGGGGGAGATTTTCAGTTAAAAAAGTGCACTCCTCTGACCTCTGAACCTGAATCCTTGCTTATTATACACAGGACTCGGTATAATACTATATTTACAACTGAATAATGACCTTAGTCACCTATTAATTCCGTGTATAAGTTTTGTACATATATGTAGATGTACAGATGAAGTGGGCGATCTATACACATCCGATGATTCCTAATACGTTTGTATCAACAATCACTTCAGAGATTCACGTCAAACAAGACAAAGATATATATTTATCTAAACGGCATGTGGCACGTTATAATTATTTCTATTAGTCATTATCATCGTCATACCATATACAGTCATCATCATCATCATCATCATCATCATCATCATCATCATCATCATCATCATCGTGACTTTAACACATCATCTTCTTTAGATTAAGGGAGATCTATTGCCTCAGGTTAACAAGGAACTAGTAACGTAATATTTATGATCAATATAAATGAGTTTTGCAGGCTAACACTAAGACATCATTTCAGAGAGATTGGCCGAGGAAGCAATAATCAGGATGATTTTGGGGAAGGGTATTGCTGGAATGGATATCTGTTTGTTTGGGTTATCGACCCATCAACAACCATGGCCATTTTGAGGCGGGGTCTCCTTGTAGTACAGATGGTGGCTACATCATAAGAACAACATAGGGAAGGTCCGTCGCATACCTTATGGATTAATCGGAGAAAAAGTGTCTTCAACACATCCACGATACTCCAGGGACTACAATCACTTTCGCTCTCTCCATTCCTGGTACATTACATGGCAAAATTGAACGTTCAATGTGCGACACCTTGTGAACAAGACGAGAAGACTAGTTTGATCTTTTAATGTACATCAAACGAATCTCGAGGTCGCATAACGTATATTGTAATGTCTTTGAAGCTGGGTGTCACTCCTTTGTAGTCTTCAAAAGGAACGTATCAGCCTGTGATTGGTCACTATTTTCTCCTGGAACCAATGTCACACACGGAACCTTCAATTTTGTTATGACATTTTCTAACGGTGCAAAGAGCGAATGTTATAAAAATTCCAGGAATATCGAGGATGCACAACCCTATACTCAGTTTTGTCAATTTTTGATAAGGTTTTATATCAAGTGTATTGTACTGCTCTAAGAAAAAAAGGCACGAGGCTCAAAACTTATGATATCCCCTCGTGATACTACTCGAACAATGCTCAAAAGAAAGATGGGGCTGATGATGGCATGTCTGACGCTTCCATGGAAACACATGCTCTCAAAACCTAAGGGAAGCGGGTACGGTTCCATGAAAACGCATGTCCACAGAACCTAGGGGAAGCGGGTACGGTTCCATGGAAACGCTAGCCCACATAACCTAGGGGAAGCGAGTACGGTTCCATGGAAACGCCAGCCCACATAACATAGGGGAAGCGGGTACGGTTCCATGAACACTTTAGCCCACATAACCTAGGGGAAGCGGGTACGGTTCCATGGAAACACATGCCCACAGATCATAGGGGGAGTGGGTACGGTTTCATGGAAACACATGCCCACAAAATCTAGGGAAAGTGGGAACGGTTCCATGGAAACACATGCCTACAGAACATCGGGGAAGTAGGTAGGGAAACGAGACAATGTTAGATAGAAATATGTTAAAGAGGGACGCACAGGAACGTCTTTAAAACGCTTATAAGGGTATGCAGTATTTTATATGGTTTGGTAGCCCTTGAAAATAAGCAAGCCATCGCCCCATCCGCGTAGGCACGAAGTGACCTATCGTTAACGAGGAGCCTAAAGGTGTTCCGAGTGACGGTTGACATGAGGTACCCCGTGATGGCATCAACGGTGTAGATCAGTTTTATGAGATATTGAATCTTGAAAACATCAATCTAGTGTAATATTGTATACAAAATACACTCATGGACCGGTACAGAGAGAAACGTCGATATTCAATAGTTCGCTCAACACGTGAGAGTATATATCACAAAATCTGTCAACCTTTGACAAGTGTATGATACTGCGAGACCAGTATTTTAGAATGTTTATTTTGAAGGATCATGCAGGTAGTTAAATTCCTTTACTGCTCCTTCCTTGTGTATAATAATGGCACAATCTCATATCAATTACTTATCAGTTTGGTATTGAAAGCATCGGGAAGTGAAAAAACTTCCTTTTATTTCGTCATGTCATTTTACTGGAAATTTTCGCAATGAAATGTTTTCTTTCTTTAGAAATACGCTTGCAGAAATGCAACAATCTTAGTGACGAAATACAAGATTTGGCGACCCTTGGCGAGAACAAGCACCGGAGAAGCAAGTTCGTATATATTTGATTTTTTTATGGGTGGGTAGGGGGGGGGGAGAGAAGTGTACCATCGGATGACAATGCTAAGTATATCTAACATGTGTTTTGCACTTTGCTACATTCGTTTGAAAAAGGTTACTCAAGAAATCGACAGGCGAACACAGAAACGCCTTATTCACTTGCTATTTTCTGTGGTCGGGAAAAAGGAGGACAGGGATGTGAGGGAGGGAGACGGAGGAAGGATGATGAGGAGGAGGAAGGAGGGAAAACTACTATTGTGATAATGACGTCATAAGTTATTCCATATCGATGTTCCACGTGGGATATGTAATCCTACATAGGCAGAGACGGCAGGGTTGTAGTTTTCTTTTTTATCTTATCTACTAAAATTTTGACAACTGCCTCGAAGTATTATAAACTATTTTGATATGACTATGTGGTGACGATTTAGTAGCGTATATACCAAACCGGACGGTTGTGACATAGCGAAATACGAATCCTGCTGACTTACCCTAAAATGTACTAAAATTATGTACCACAAATTTTCAAACATGGAAACTGAATATACCAGTTATCATGATGTTAACGCTCAAGGTATATATTTATCACGGAAAAAATGTTCGTGACGCATGTGTCGTGTACCACGGTATTTTAAAATATTTGACATAAATTTGTTTTCGTACACCAACCTCTGGAGTGAAAAATAAACATTAAAATGTGATTTGAACTTCAAATAATTGTGACGTCCTGGGGCAGTTTTATAATACCGGATATGGCTGAGCCTTCCGGACATTGACGAAGTGATCTAGAAATTAAGAACACTTAAAGTAAAGTTGATCCCTCCAATCTAAGATCCGTATTTGGTTTTTGTATCCT